AGGTGTGGGAGTCACCCAGGGTTGGAAGAAGCAGCCAAGATCTGAGGGGTGTGGGCAGAGTCCAAGTGTAGGAGAGTCAGGAAGCCAGAAGATCCATCTGGGGAACTGAGTCAGAGAGCCCGAGGGTCAGATGGAGCGTGAGGTCAGGAGGCCAGGTGGGTCGGGTATCTAGGGAATCAAACCAGTCATGTTAGGGAGCCAAAGGGTCAGGCCTAGCTCAGGGTCCATGGACAAGCTGAGTCATGTAGCTAGTGAATCTGTCAGAGAGCTGGTAGAGACACAAACCAACAATGAAGCGGCCTCCATACAAAGTTGAGCATTGTTACCCAGACACTTCCTTTTCCAGGTTAGGGGTTTTTACAGGAAGGGGGAAAGGGTCAGTTGACCTTGGCTGGCCACTCCAGTTGCAGCGAGAGGGCAGCAGCTTGGTCCTTATGGGGAATACATGGGGAGCCCTGCAGGCTGGCATGACAGGGAGCCAAGAGGTGGATCTGGCCTGTGGGCTGGGGGTTGAGCACCCTGATCTAGGTTTATACCTTAAGCTTTACCTTTCAGTTCTTGTAGCTGTTGTCTTAATGTACATTTTATTCTCAGGCTTATGTGTATAAACTTTCCTAAGAATACTTTAAAGAAATTGATAGAAACAACAGATTTGTTCTCTGTGTGTATATTCAACAAATAACTATTTCTTGGTTTGATGCATCTTTATGGGAAATTGGGGAATCATTTATCTCTCTCTCTCTCTTTGTATTGGAATGTAGCAGGGAACCCTTGTCCTGTTACTGGAAAGTGGTGTGGCCCTTTAAGGGCAGGGTTTTGTAGCACAGATACAGGCAACCAGCAGAGCAGGGGTTAAGGATTGAGTTATCGTACATCCAGTTTTCCTGGACATGTCCTCTTTTTGGGTCCTGCCATCTCCGTTTGGGTGGTGTTTTTAAATATCAACAAATGTCTGGGATTTGGGATTTTGCTCTGCTCAGCACTGAAGTTTTCCCCAGCACTGGGCTGCAGCAGGGCGGGGGAGGCACCTGCCTCCAGTTGGGGAAGGGAGTGGGGCTGGGGCAGCAGGGAGCTGTGTGGCTGCGCTGCACCAGCTGGAGATGCTTGCAGGGATGGGTGGAGAGCAGGACATTGCAGGTCAGGAGTGAGGGGCACTGGCAGGGCTGGGGGGGTGGGGGGTAAAGGGGGTGCAGGTCAGTAGTGAGGGGCACTGGCAGGGTTGGGGAAGCTGTGGATTGGAAGTAAGGGGACCTGGGGAGTGGCGGGGGGCTGTGGGGTGGGGGGGCATCACCAGGACTGTGTATTGGGAGTGAGGGGCAGGGGCAGGGCATGGGCATATCACTACTCCCCCCACTTTCCCTCAGACAAGCGTCTTCTTTTTTGAAACTGGAATATGGTAACCCTAGTTAAGTAACAGCCCTGTGGTGAATCAGCTGACATGAGAGGCACGTGACCAGAAAGGGGCAGGGTTTTAGTAGTATATAAACCAGAGCTAGAGTCAGAGCAGGGGGTTAGACCTGGGAAGCAGCAGGGTGAGGGAGCCTTGTGGGAAGGTGGCTGCTGGACAGGGAACTGTGGGCATGCAACCAAAGGGACCTGATTCAGGGTCAGGCAGAAGTGTAGAAGTTAGCTGGGGGACTGGGGGGTTGTGTTGCTTCAGAAGGCTTAAGTTTGTGTTTGGGTTTTAACTGGTGTTTTGTTTGGAACTAGAAAGGAGTGGCTTGGAGGTCCCATTAGTGCCTGATGAGCATGTAAGTGCCTTGAGCTCTGCCAGGGGTCAGGCTCAAGGCATAGACAGAGGTCAGGGGAGCCCAGAGCCTGAGAGAGGGCAGAGCTTGGGGACCAGAGGACCTGGAGCCCCAGAAGGGCAGGGACAGCCCAGAGAGGGGCAGAGCTTTAGAACCAAAAGGCCTAGAGCCTGAGAAGGGCCAAGATAAAGTCCCTGGAGGGCAAGACATGGGCCTGGAGCCCAGAAGCCAGGTCTAGAACAGTGGGCCTTGGCTAAGGGACCAGCTAGAGGGAAGGGGTGGAAGCTGGGAAGGCTGGAGCCCTAACAAGGGAGTAAAGGCCTGAGGTAGCCTGGTGGCTATGGAGACTAGTGTTCTACTGGATGTGATGTTGAATAACATCAGCAAGGCATGGGTGTGACTATTGGGGTGTCTGGAGGTCATGACTTAAGCCCTTAAAGCAAGCCAGGTCAGGAAAATCCACCACTGGATAAAAGAGAGCACCATAGCATTAGTCTCTGAGGGCAGCCTCCCTTTCATTAAGTTTCCATCAAGGTGTGGCAGGTAAGAAAATGAGGTGAGACCCTGAGAGAGAGAGAGAGTGAGAGCCTAGAGGGGATGAGGCAACCTGTAGGGGGCATCACAATGGTCCTTGGGTGCCTATCCTGTTACATGGAGACAGAAGAACTTATTTCTCTTTTACAGTGAGATATTGGGGAAAGGAAGGAAGTTTCTCATGTCATATGAAAGGATAATTTAATAAATCCTTAGATTAACTGATTAATCTAAATACACATTAAGGTAAATTCTGTAATTGTCTAGACGGAATAAGATCATTTGTCTTAACCCATGTGTCACCTAACTTGGTGACACATTCTTCTCTGTAGCAACCAGGTTGTTGTCATGTTATTCATGAACCAGGTTGTTGCTCTGGTTCATATCATCAAATGAGCAAAATCAAGTTGCTCCACAGAAACATTTAAAACGTTTATGTACTTTCCACCCGGGGATTGTAATAACCTTATTTATGTATGATAAACTTCTAAATTCCACACTATGCATACATCCTCAAAGCTGTTTTACAGGGCATATGAATCCTTTAGGCATATACCTGCAGACACTTTAGGAGGGGATGAGCCAGAGAATATGCTGCATTATATTTCTTCGTATACTGCCTTATGCATCTTACAGGCCATCACCCAGTGCTGTGAAGCTTATTTCCTATTTTAGGCTTAGCTTTTTTTTTCTCAGAGGGTGCCTCTACATGTGCATATTAATGAGATGCAATAAACTCCAGTGCTTATTGCACCAGAGTTTATTGCTCCAGGCATATCATTTGCATGTGTGCCTGGGATCACAGCATGTTGAGCTGGGTCAAGGCCACTTGGGCTGGCAGGGAGCCTGGGGATGTGGGGGCCGGGGGGTCAGTCTGCCAGCCTGTGGCTGTTGTGCCCTGGCTTAATGTGCTGTGTAGGGGCTGGCCTGGGCACAAGGGTGCTTCAGTGTAGGGTTAGCTGGCAGGCGGCACCTGCAATTAAGCACGCTTGTGCCCTAGCCAACTAGGGCAGCATTTACACGTGCGCTGCTGCAGATTTTTTTACTCCACAGCAGAATAGTACTTGTATTTACAAATACTATTCTGTTGTGGAATAAATTAGTTTACTCTAGCCTAATAAGGACGTTCATGTAGATTCGTGGCATTTACTGTGCAGCTAATTAGTCTACTGCACAATAAATGTCCCCTGCAGAGGCACCCAGATAGGACTACATTATGGCCCTTATTTCCTCACTCAGGGAGATAACATCCACCTCCCCTCCCCACAATACAGCCTATCCTTGTTTTAGCTTCAAGTAGGTAGAAGAGTTTGGGCCCTCCTGGTGGTGAGCTGAGAGTAAGTCAGGGATGAGCAGAGCACAGCATTTGCCTGGGCAGCAAATGGTTACTGGAAAATTAATTTGCATATTAATCAAAGGAAGCAGCATGTTGTTTACCTCTGGAGTCAGGATAAGAATTGTAATTACATACAGGAGGCTGCAGCTAAAGGCACAATCAGGTCCTACATTATCAGGGAGGGAAGAGGGTGGGGGGCAACACCTTCCTAGAGAGCTGCTCAGAATGACCCCTAGGATCAAGAAACAGTTACAGGGAATTCCCCTTACCAGCTTTTTCCTGTTCATTTACAAGGTATTGAAGTGTGGTTTGACTAAACAAATAAAATAAAGGTTTTCCTTTCTAATAAGTTTAGCTTTATTTTTAAAAATAGTATTTTTCAATATATAAAATAAGTAATAGTTATAACTTAATATTTAAGGCATAGAACATCTGGGGTTTTTTCTTCCATTGGAAGAATCCACATTTTAAGAGTAGAAAACTGTTAAAATCAGGTCCTAACACAAATAATAATTTTAATAATAAATACTTAGCATTCAACCATCTAGTGCCTTTTTATAATCTAAGCACTTAACTAGCATTAACCATATAAATTAACATGCCCCTGTCAGGTATACGTAAATAGATACATCTTCTAAACTACACAGAAGAAAAATTAAAGTATGATTCTGAGTGTGAAAGTGTTGCAGCCCGCACATAAGATCTTTTTGGTATAGCCACTCTCATAAAGGCTTGCTGCAGAAGAAGAATAGGGTGACAAGAGAGAATGCTGTTTGTTTTAATCTTGAGCCACTGGAATGTAACCTAGGAAATTCCTCCTCCTCTTCTTCTTTTACATCTGAGAAAATAATAATAATAGTAATAAAAAAGTTAATGGAAGTGAAATGCAAAGGATTTCTACAGACTTTGAAATTCCTTCCCCTTTCTCTCCCCCTCACCCCCAAATAATCTTTTCAGGTACTTAGGTTAAAGCTATCAGCTGTGAAAGCCAATCAAAGAGTCTATTCTCAGAGGAGAGATGTGAATGGATGCCATCAATGATCGTTTGAGAAGCAACTGATAGCACTTATCAGCTCTTACAGGCATCAATCTCAGAATAATCAAATGTAAATACCTAGCAAAGGAAAGGATGTTAGCAAGTGACATACTCTCAGTCTTCAAGCAAGCTTTTAACCCTTTCTTCAAGGGAAAAGATTACGTTTTTGGCCATTAGCACAAGCAGAAAAGAATACCTTCATGCAACCTTTTAACAAAAGGTTCTCCACTCTGTTGCATCAGTTTTATACTGGTGTTACCCCAGTGGACATTGGTTTAAAAGAGTAGAGGGTCAGGCCTTATGTCTCTTGCTGTTGCAGGACCAGACATATAACAGGATTCTGAAGTCAGAGAACTCACTTGGCAAGAAAACAGTTTTTTGCACAGAACAATTTAAGTTGTTGTTGCATGTAATTAAGTCAATGGAGAAGCATGCAAGATAAAGGCATTTAAGGTAATATGCACTCCTATTTTTCTAGCCACCTGGTATTCCCTGCAGTGCACATCATTTGTTCTTTGTTCTTGGGATGGAAGGATATTCCCTGGTGAGATTAAGAGACTCTGGTTGCAGATTTATTTTTCAGAGTTCACATTTTATTCCAAGTAAAGTTATTTATTCCAAGCAAGAGTCATTGCTTTTCTATGCATCTTTTCAGGTAGTCTCTATCCCACCCAGCAAATTTCAATCTGTTCCTCTCCCAAACCCTTCAAAGGGACTTTGCTAAAGTGTGGGTCTCTGAAGATTTTCTTCTCATGCTTGTGTGTGCGTGTGCATGCACATGTGCATGAATACATATTCCAATCTGTATCTGTTCCTTTCCCAGACTCCTTAAAGGGACTTCTTTGCTAAAGCATGGGTCTCTGAACATTTTAAACATTAGGCAGAAAGCAAGGCAGTGTATATATTACCTTGTTTAAAGACTGTCCTGCCTTCTGCTTAGCTTCAGACTAAAGCAGTTAACTACTGGTCTCTGTTCATTGTAAAATTTTACATGTGCATTTGCTTATTCGGTTTAGTGGTTGTTCTACATATGGACTAACTATTAGTAATTCAGTCCTAAGACATTCTTTTTCTACAGTGTTTTCACAAAGAAAAATACCTTGAATTTTTACATGGGTCTTCAGCAGTAGATCTCCAAAAAGTGATTTAACAAAGTAGTTTTTTTCTTGTAATTTGTTGTAATCTGGGATTATTAAAATGTACGGTTTAATACCACACTAGATTAGTCTCGGCCTTCAAAACTTTACAAGTTTAGAGAACAGTCCAGACAGATTTGGTTCAGGAGGGAGGTTCTGATTTTTGCACCTTGCTCTCAGGATGATTTTTTTTCTCCCTAAAAAGCCTAAATTCCTGGTGCCTCAGGTTTCACCTGTATAACATGGGAATACTAATACTTCTGTACAGCACCAGGCTGAGGAAAATTATTTATATTTTCAAAATGTAGTGATATCTTCTGATCAAAAGCTCGTGGTAAGAGCAAAAGTCTTGTTTTTATATTTGTTAACAGATTTCAGTAAGACCCAGCAAATTTTTATGCATATGTGTAATTACTCATGTGAGTTGTCCTCTTGTTTTAAAAGAATAGAATTTCATGCCTGTGCACAACTATTGCAAGACAGGATCAATCATTTGACCTCTTTGTCTTTTGAAATACGAGAAATAATACTCTACTGCAAGTGTCCTGTGGGATTCACTATTATTTCTAAAGTGCTTTGAGATTTTTGGGCAAAGAAGTTCAAAATTATAATTACTGTGAAATTAAATGTGTTCTTGGTCACTGAGCAGGCTTTAGTTAGAACATTGAAATTTCAGTGATCTATATAAAACTTTTATATAAAACTGAAACTTCAGAAAACAACTTTGTCAGGCAGAACATTTAAAAAGCACCATTATTCTCCATGGATCTGATAGTTTTTCCTTACCACAGTTGTCTTGCATTCTTCCTGAAAGGCAGTGTAGCATGCCATACCCACATCGACAGAATCGGCAGCCCTTGATTATCCAGGCTCCATGGGCAACAGGGCCACAGTTGCTGTTAATGATAAGGGAGATTTTTTTCCATTTTCCTGCTCATCAACAATGTTAAAACTGGAAGATTTCTGATTTCAGCTCTTTCTTACCGTTTCCGTTCGTCATGCTCACAGTATCTGCCAGTAAAATGTTTTAGACATGCACAGAAACTGCCTAGGATACAGGTCCCTCCATTTTGACAACAGTGCCTGTTCAGCTTTTTACCTAAAAGACAATGATCCACAATTTACTAAGAAATAGAAAGGCTTTAAATCTCCTTTCTTCTCACTTGGTCTCTCATGTCTCCCTAGCTGCGAAAGGATCTTAAGGATGTCCAGGTTTATTGTCTTTAAGGGCAATAAAATTAGCTGCCTGTTAGTGATGTTTGTTCAGTTAAGCCCAGTTTGTTTAGTTAAGGATTAAAAGCAAACTACCAGGGATTAAAGGATGGCCAAGAACCAACTCCTGACAAGATCTACAGAAGTAGTACACACGTAACTGAAATATTTCATTTTGACAGAGACAGGCCTCAGCCTCACTAATAAATCAGGGTTTTTTCCCCTGGCAATGTCCTTCCGTTTTTGATCAGTCATGCCACAGAAATGAAAGGAACTTCAAGACGTTGTGTTTCAAGCTGCCTAGGTTACAATCTCGAACCTGAAATTTTGTGATGAAGTAAAAATCCACCATCGTTTGCGTATGTTATAGTTTGCTTCCAGACTGTAACTCTTAAGACAAAATGAAGGCAGGGTAGAAGTAGACTTTATGACCTAACTGAACCAGAGTTACACAAGCTTTATCTAAGCTCGCTTTGTCAGATGCTTAGATAAAATGAAAGTTTTAGTTGATTTTAACCATCAAACCCAACATCATGTTTCACAAAGTCTGAATGAGACCAGTATACAGCTCCTTTGTAACCCAGCATCTGCTTCTATTTTCTGTTATCCTATATAGGGGGGTTGTAGATTAAAGATATGTGATTTAACTTTGATTTATTTATGTCTACTTTATCAGTAGGTATGGAAAAGGACTTTAAAATGACCCTTTTTAAACTATCAGAAATCTCTTCTAAACTTCCAGCTTAGCTAGTGCTCAGGCTCTGGAAGAGAGTTTGCGACTTGTTTTTGTGAAAAAATGTTTGTGAAGGCAGGTTGTAAATGCATAATGCAGCAATATTCTAGCATGACATAAATAAATAATGTTACCTACTGTCTGTAATCCCAGTGAAAGGCACAAGACTCCTAGAATTTGGTTGCTTCCTGCTCTCATAACTTTGATTCATGTCATTAAGAGCATTTACAATAGTGTCTTGATTTTTTGGCTGCTGCTTTTGAGCTGTGGCATTGACATTTTCTCCAGCATGTTCATACTCTTCTTTTTCACGGCCTTGAAAAGGTAGGGAAAACAGAAGAAGAAGGAAAGGGGAGGTTGAAATAAATTAATAGAAATATAAATTCATTAAAAAACCGCCCAGAACAGATTAGAAAAATGAAGCTTTCCTTACCTCTTCCAAAATGAATGACTTGCAAGGCCATAGGCACCATAAAAAGAATTCTACAGAACACCAAAAATATTGTATTAGTTTATGGGAATAAAAACTACAGAAAATTAAAAATAAGATTAATATTATTACTTATGACAATCTATAGTGACAAGAACATTTTAAGCATTATATAAAAGGTACAAATCAAACTATCACACCATAATTCACAAAATAAACCAGTCTATGAAGACTAATGTGTTCGTATAACTTGAATTTTCATCCAGAATGCCACAGGTAATTCTAAAATGTGACTCTTTTCTGGCTGCTTTCTGTAGATGTCTTGAGTACAACCTTACTATTACTGAAGCATCCTATTTCCAAAGGTACTGAAGTCAAGAAACATGCAGTAACTTCCACTTGAACTAAGGTTTCAAATTCCTTCTTTTTCACTTTTGACGCCTCTTTAAAATAGTCTGCCTCCATTTTGAAGGGTTAACACAAAATTAAATAAGTTCTTGGATCTGGGAGATAATTGGCAGAACAAAAACCCTTACCTAACATGTCTCCAATACATGTTCCTACAGTCAGAAATGCTTGTGTGATTCTCAGCAGCTTGATTAGTAGGACAGTTCCAAGGTAGTTTGTTATATGCAGCAGTCTTCAGATCATACACTGGGATTATTGAATCCAGACAAGGAAACAGAGAAGAGAAAGGATGAGTGAGGAATTTTTCTTTTTTATCTCCAGACCATAAGAATATAGATGAGACATCATTCCCAGCTCTGCTGCTTGTGGTTCTTCAGTAAGGTACTGACAGTCAATTACCATTTCTTTGAGCTTGAAAGTCAATAGCCCTCCCCTTACCAAGACACAGCTTGCTGTAGGGGTGGAGCAATATCTCACAAGAAGAAGGTTGTTTCTACTATAGCTAAAACTTCAGCAGGCATTTCCCTGGTGAAACTCTCCCTTCAGGCAGTAGGAAGCAGGCTTCAGTGTAAAATGATACAAGCTGGTTTCATTTTCTCTGTTTTTCCCCTCCAACAAAGTATCCCTAAGCTGAGTTCAAAGTTCAGGCAGACTTGCATCAAAACTCAATACCTGAACTTTGAGGAAGTTTAGAACTGGATTCAATCTGAATTTTGGGTCTTAAGTTTTATTTCTCCACTTCAAAAAGTGCCATTTACAATAGTTAATTTTTCTGCTTGCAATGAACCTCAGGGGCTTACAATTAGCCACCTGAATCTGTTCTGTATCTCAGTGAATATCCTGGTTTTCAGAAGGACTGAGCTCCCATGGTTCTCATATCTTTGAGCACCCAAGTTTAGAATGTGTCGGCCTCATTGTAAATGTGTTACCTTCTGAAATGTTCTAGGTATTCGACACCAACGGAGGTAAGACTACATTTTAATCGATTAATGGTGTAGATCAGGGGTGTCAAACTCATCTGGTCCCTTGGGCTGAATGAGGGTCTCTGGGCTAGTCTGTGGGCCAGATTGGATGCTGGGCCTTGCTCTGGGGTTTGCATTGTGTGTGGCTTGTCAAATTACTACTGCCCCTGCGGGGGCTGGTATAGGACACATGCTGTATGTGGCACGCTGCTGGACCATCCCTGTGTACTGGTTGTAGGGCTGATCTGGTCCAGCAGGGCCTCGCATGCAGCTCACGCCCCAGGCTGGCCCCCTGTGCCATGTGCAGTGCCATTGTTGCTGGGTCCATCCTGTGTACCATGCATCAGCCTCATTCTAGCACAGGGGGCTGGCATGCTGCTGGAGTGAGGCTGGCACATGCTGCACACAGAGCGTAGTTTGGACCTGGCATTGAGGGCTCTACAGGTAGCACAGGTGGCCAGTGCGGGGCATGCACTGTATGCTGGTTTTGGCATAGCCTGATTCAGAGCAGTGCTGGAGCCAGCATGCAGGGTCAATCTGGCACAGGCACTACATGCAATATGCACTCTGGACTGCCCCCCTGTGTCACAAGAGTGCTCATGAGGCATGTAGGGTCATTTCTAGACCTATAGGCTGAATCATATGGCTCCACAGGCTGGACACAGACCACATGTTTAACGCTCTTGATATAGATCATCCATTACAAATCTTATATGTATATGTCACTGATAGAAGACATATCCTTCTAACAATGGTGTATCCTTTTTATTCTAATATAATAAAGGGCTTAGTGTATCCTTCTGTCTATAATGCTCTTGGATTACTCTGATTGGTTACTGAAACAACCAATCAGAGTGCTCCAAGAGCATTACTGACAGGAGGTGGCAGTGCAGCATAGTGCCACAATGACAGCAGGACAGAGGGGATAGAGTGGGGTGGGCTCGCCCTCCCCCCCTCCTCCCTGCCCTGTTCTTTGGAGGCGGTGCTGATGGAGGGCATGGCAGAGCAAGTTTTCCCCTCCCCCCTCCACTCCTGGGAGGCGGTAGCAGCATGGGGGGTGAGGTTAGGGTTAGCAAGCTTCCTGCCCCCTCTGTCCCCGCCCGCTCCCCTCCCCACCCTTTTTTGATGGGTTATTTGCTAGTATAATCTATAAATGTGAAGGTTTCTTATTATGGATTTGTGCGGTGGGAGAAATTATACCCTCTTGAAGAAAAAGAGGGAGGAGAGAGACATTTCTGGCTAAACCGCATCTTTGGAGATATTATTACAACCACAAAGCATACCCTGATTTGATAGAACCTGGAGCTAATTCCTTATTTTCTTGAATTTGCAACGTATGAAAAGAAAGTGTCTGGAACATTACAACGTTAGCATCACTTAGCATAGGTGCAAGCAGGGAAGAATTGATCCCTTTTTACCCTTACTGGGTTCTGACAAAAGAAATTCTGGTAGCATGCAGCAGCTGCCACCACTGATCTGCTACAGCATGTACCATATCCATAGGTTTCTGGTGGCGTTGTGTGGTTTAACTGCACTTGTTCTGCCAGCAGAGCCCAAAGTGCCTCCTGGGAAGATATAAGACAATGCTTCCCAACCTCTTCCTCAGCATGACCCCATTTAAACACTGGAAATTTTTTGCAATGCCAAAATGATACAGACAAGATCAATGACCCCGTAGGAGGCATGGCTGGAGCAGAGCCTGTGGCAGGGGAGGATGCGGGCTGCCCCCCACCCTCTGCACAAATTTGGGGGGCACATGCCCCTTCCCCCCACCCTCCCTCGCTGGGAATGCATGCAGTGGTAGGGAGCCAGACCTCTGCCGTCCCCCCAGCTGGGCCCTGCATTTTGGAACAAGGCCCCATGCACCGGCCCAGCTGGGCAGCACTCCCAGCTCCAGCCCCAGCCCTGCCCTGGCCCACTCTCTCCCTCTGTCCCTCCATCCCTCCCTCTCTGTGGGGGCTTCAATCTGCCCCCCCCCCCCATGGACTTAGCTGAAGAGAGCTGCTCTCCGTACTGCCTGGCTGCCACATGTATGTGTGGGTATGCACATGCATGTGGTGCCCCCTACCTGATCACCCTCCTTCCACTCACCCCAACCCCAAGCAGCCCATTGCAGGCTGGAACTCTGCTAGCCTGCAAGGGAACCTGCCCTTTCCTGCTTTTTTCTGTGATTTTCATCATAACTGGTCAACTGACGAGTGTCTTTGCAACCTCATTTTTTATTGTTGCAACGCCAAATGGGATCATGACCCCAAGGCTGGGAACCACTGGCATAAGATATCGAAGGATCCACTAAAATTGTCAAAAGGTGCCTATACATGTCTTCTATCATTTGCTGGATAGTGTCAAGAGCCTTCTTTCACTGAGGGGAGGTGTAACTGCCACCACAAGCAAGGGGTTTCCTGCTGCAGAGGAGCTATGGATATAGACATGCTCATAGTTTTGATGGCAGGTCTTGAGTTCAACCAGCAGAACATTTTAATGTAGGCTATGTCTTGGGTTTTGTAGATTTTGTGATAACAATTAGAGGTACAATTTATTCACATTACATGCAACATGTAAGAGAGGAACTCATGTTCTTGTTAAGTTCACTTTAGCAAAAGCTAGGGTTGAACTCAACCAGTGATATCAGTGTAAAAGATAACTTGTGCATCTTGTCTCCAGTAGGAATTTATATCAGGATAGCTAACTTAATGTAAAAATATACCATGAAGCCTTAGGTGACATCTATACTACAGACTTTTGTAGGCAAAGCAACATTAGTCAGGGTATGATTGATATAAAACACACTGGCCTCCGAGCAGAAGGATATATGCAGCTATCTGGAGATAACTGGGTACAACTGATGGCTATGATTGCACCTCACCACTAGACAGCAGGGAGTAAGTAATAAGTAACCTGTTGGCCTTGTGGAAATAAGTATCTCTAGATAAGCACAGACAGATGACACCTATGCCAGTGTAACTGATTTGTTCCAGGTCAATTACATGTCAGGTTGGGTGAAGTTAACCTGATATAGGGGCTTGCACCATCTGACTGTATCATTTTTTCATATAGTCTGTCCAGGCCTGATATGCAGCCACTATCTTAGCATTTTCCAGCTACATTTTATCCCAACTATGGTCCTACATTTTATCCCAACTATGGTCCAATAAAATATATCACCCTACGAAATCCTTGCCCCTCACTTGTAGCTCATTGTGTTCTAGCTTAGGTTTGTTACTGATTTTAGATCAATATTAGCCACACTTATTCTAGAACACACACTTGCACTGGAATGATCATCAGATGCTCAAGTGCTGAGTCCAGTAGGGGGGCTTTCTTAAACTGGCCCATAATCTGCTTCATGTGGCTTTGGAAATGAAATAAAGCTAGTTTCTGGTTTGCATGTGTTAATAATTCATTTTTTATTTTCAGGAAAAATGTTTCAATAATGTGTTTTTAATTTTTTTGATCAAACATTCCTAATCACAGGGAGGTGCTTAATTTTTTATTTTTTAAAACTCTGCTCTGAATGTAAGATTTATCTTCCTTATCTATAAAAAGTGGATAATGTTTTGAGTTCAAGAAGAAAAGCAGTAGATACATTAGTTTAATTATAATGATTCTTTTAAACAAGACATAAACTTTAAACCTATCCTAATTGTCTTTGCCTTTTTTATTTAAAAACTTGAGAAAATGAAGCTCATACTCATTATCCAGTTCAGTGCTCTTTCCTTCATTACAGACTGAAACCAGAATGGGGAGAAATAAACATGCAAAATAACCATTTAATTTTTAGTAAATGTAACCTGGATGCAGTTCTATCAAACTACTTCTCTGACATTAACGTCTTAGTTTTATATTAGAGGTAGCTTAAAAGTATTGAAGCCAGTAAAGATAGATACATTTTCACACATTGTACCATCTGTTTAAGATCAGAAGTCAGCCTTGTGGAGTGGAAAATCTGATGGCCTGGGGAGTTGTAAAACAATTGATAAATGTTTCTCACTATGATTCATTGTTTCTTTCCCATCTCTCTACAGGCACATAGAAAAGCACATGTCTGAATTGAGGCAACAGATGTATGATGCAAAGATGCCAATTTTATTTGACTGACCAATGAAGATGAGTTTGGCACAAAGCTATGGAATATTCTCTGCTGTTTGCCATGAACAGAATGCACCAGAAAATGATGAGGGTAAGTCCATCTCCTTTATCATCTGCAAACAAGATAAGAATGGAGACAACTAAGGAATTGGGCTAAGAATTTAGCCCTGTGTACGCTAGAAGACTTTTTGATGATTAAACATTAATTAGGTACTTCTAGTAGATATTGTGTCCTTCAGTGTGCCTGCTCTTACCAGTTTGGTTTACATAGATGAATTTTGTATATCTGTACAAATTTGCTTCGTTAGTGCAAAAGATTCAGTATGTCCTTGTAGCAACTGC